CCCTGGGGGCCTCCCCTGGCTCCCTCCAGGCCCCCAGCTCCAACCCCCACCCCAGGCATCACCAGGGTGAGCAGTGTTCATAATGGTTCAGCATCTCAGGGGTAGCTCCACTGCCTGCTTGGTCTGCCCACTGCCTCCCCTGGGGTCCCATATCTGCTCATTGTCCCTCCTAGCTCTCTCTACCTCCCCCCAGTCTGGGTCCCTCCCCCAGGAAGGAAAGAGAATGTCTGAGAAATGAGTTTGAGTGCTTTGTTGAGTGAAACACAGACTGAATATATGAGTAGGTTCAAACCAGCAGCTCTAAGTGCTTCCTTTGCTCTTTTTACAAACTGCTCAGGTGTCTCTCTTCCAGGCCTTTGCATTGGTTGTTTCTTCTGTCAGGAATAACCTTTCCCTCAATGTTCCCTACCTATTTCCCTCCTAATTTACCTAGTGATGCTCACATAAACTTCAAAACCGAAACCCATTGTACCCTTCCTTAGGCAGAGTCATGAATTCAGGCCTGGACTCAGGGGCAGAGTGTTTATAACTGGCATGATATTCTCCCCAGACTAGGCTAGGGTCTGGGAATGGATGAAGTCAAGGTGGGACCTGGAAGCCTTCTGGGACCTATCCTACTTTCCCCAGGGGTCCCTGCCCAGGCAGAGCAGTTGTGTAGTCTGGTATGTAGAAGGAAGTGGACTCTGGGGCTAGGCTCCCTTTGCTCCAATTCTAGCTCTACTATTTTTTGCTTTGAGTCACTGTGTCTCAGTCTTGCCATCTGTAAAATGGGAATAATAATTTCCTATGAGGACTTTGGTGAGTGGGTTGGTGTCTTCAATGACCTCATCTCTGTTCTCCTCTTCCCAGCTATTCTGACCCATGGATCCACCCTGCCCAGCCAAGTGGCAGTTTCCACGGTGCCCCTGTCTGGTGGGGCTTCTGTTTCAGCTACTTTTGGCCACGAGCTTCTTCTCCTACCTGGGTGTGTCTCAAGACAGTCCCAGTGGGTCCCCTAGGTTAGCGCCCATTGCACTGGAATATGTCACTATGGCTTCCAATAGGTCAGCCGGGACAATGTCCACCAATGGGTCCTGTTGCCAGGCTACCACGGGGCCCCCTGCCCACCCACCTCTCCTCATCCTGCTGTGGACATGGCTCTTCAACATTCCGGTGGCTCTGTCCCGCTGCTCGGAGATGCTGCCTGGCACAGCCAATTGCCCCCTGACTGCCAACTGCAACATGTATGCACAGGCAGATGGGGTCACTGTGCATCACTGGGATGTCATGCACAGTCCTAAGACCCAGCTCCCACCATCCCTGAGACTACTGCAGCAGCACTGGATTGGGGTTAACATGGAGCCACCTTCTAACTCCTGGCACCTGGAAGCTATGAATGGATACCTCAATCTGACCATGTCCTACCGCAGCGACTCTGACATCTTTATGCCCTATGGCTGGCTTGAGCCCTGGCAGGGCCAGCCTGCCCATACCTTGGTCAACCTCTCAGCCAAGACTGAGTTGGTGGTGTGAGTGGTGTTGAACTGGAGATCAGACTCATCCAGGGTGAGATACTACCAGTTGCTGCAGGCGCATATCAAAGTGGATGGTATGGGAAAAACCACAGGCCTCTGCCCCAGGGCGCCATGAAGCAGCAGCTGTCCAGGTGCAAGTTCTACTTGGCCTTTGAGAACTCCCAGCCCAAAGACTGCATTACTGAGAAGCTGTGGAGGAATGCCCTGCAGGCTGGGACTGTGCCTGTGGTGCTAGGCCCCTGCGGAGATACTGTGAGTGCTTCCTGCCCCTGGAGGCCTTCATCCACGTGGACAACTTCCAGAGTCCCCAGGACCTGGCCCACTACTTGCAGGAGTTGGACAAAGACCATGCTCAGTACTTGAGCTACTTCCACTGGAGGGAGACGCTGTAGCAGCACTACTTCAGTTGGGCCCTGGCTTTCTGCAAGGTCTGCCGGCAGCTGTAGGAGAATAGATACCAGACAGAGGGCAGCGTCGTGGCTTGGTTCATATGAGGTGGCCAGCCTGGGGCCTGGGCTGCCGGGACCTCATCTGCGTAGGTGACCTCTCTGAGGCCACACCTACCTGGGACACCACCTGACTGTGACCTCACCTATCCAGGGCCACACTTATCTGGGGCCTCACCTGCTGGGGCCCTTGTTTGCCAGAGATCTCACTTACCTGAGACTTCACATGCTGGGTCATGGCTGCCAGGGACTTCAGCTCTGGACCTCTACCTCCCGAAGGCTAGCCTGTTGTGGTCCTCGGCTGCTGGAGACTGCCCCTGCTGGGGACCTCTGCTCCTGGGGACTCTCTCCACTTGGGAACTTGCCTCACTGGATATTGCCTGCTAGGTGTCTCACCTTGCTTGGCACTGTCACTACTGGGGACCTCGCTCACCAAGGCATTCAGCCCCTGGGGAACCGACTCTCTGGGGTCCCACCCATAGGTGATGGTTCTGGATGATGGGCTTATGATTACTGCTGTTGTTGGGGACAGCCTGTGACATGTGTAGACAATGTTATCGACTTTTCTGCCCAGTGATGCTGCCAAGAAACTGGTGTGTGCCCCCTTACTCTAGAACAGTGGATCTCACCCCAGGGTAGTTCTGCTCCCCAGGAGGACACTCAGTAATGTCCGGATACATTTTTTGGTTGTCACATGTGGGAGGGAATTGATGCCACTTTGTGGGTAGAGGTCAGAGATACTCAAGACCCCTACAATGCACAGGACACCCCTCTCTATAGACAATGGTCCAGCTCCAACTGTCCACAGGTAGGAAATCCCTGCTCTGGACCTTTCTGTGGCTCTGGAGGTGTCCCTCCTCCCTTGGTTTCCTGGGGTGGGGAGAACAAGGCCCAGAGGGGTAGAGAGTGGCACTTTGCTGTCCAGGGGTCAACACGGGGCAGAGCAGGAATGGGGGGACCTTTTCTGCCCAGCACATACAGCCAGGTGGGGTGTTTGTGGGGGACAGAGGAGAGCAGGTCCCCCACGTGTGTGTATGTGTGGCTGTCTGTGTTGCTATGGCACAGGACTCTTCATGACCTGTCATGAAGGTGTGTTGGTGTGTGACTGGGGAGTGACTCTGATGGTGTGTGCATGTGTGGTATGAGGGCCGAATGCATTTGCACCCATGTCTGTGTGTAATGGTTATTCTGAGCATGAGAAAGAAGGTGTGGCCCCAGGGTCGTCCCTGAGTGTGGGACAGTGCGGGGCCCTCTCTGGAGGTGCCAGGCATTCTGTATGAGTCCTGCTATGACTGGCACAAGGTTGTATGTCGACAGAAGAGTGTCCTTGAGTTTATGTCTGCATGTGGTGGTGTGTCAGTGTGTGCAGCTCCGAATCTTTGTGGACGAGTGGTGACTTTGAGAGTGCTCCTCTCTGAGTGTGTAATTCCAGGCGTGGATGGTGACTGTGCAAGAACGTGGACTGTGGCTCCTCTGCATGTGATCTTTGCTGCTGAGTCCCTATGTAGGTGACAGTCTCTGTGCCCCATAATTGTGTGTGGGGGGCAGCTGTGACCCCAGCCTGGTGTGTGCTGTGTGCTGCTGTGAACCTCAGCTCTGGGGGCCAGTGGGAGTTGCCATGCTTATGTTCCAGCCCTCTGGTGGGCTGGACCAGTGTCCTGTGGTTGGGATGTTGGATCTGGGTGGGAGACAAGGAGGCCCAGGTCCTGAGAGGCCTAGGGTGGGTGTTCAAAACCCACACATGCACACAGGATCAGTGAATCTGAGGACCACAGACCCAGGCTCGAAGGCCAATTTTTCTACTGTGTGCCCTAAACTGAACAACTTTTGTCTTTGAGGCTTGGGGCCTCCTGGGCCATCTAGGATGGGGAAACTGAGGCTCTGGGTAAGTACACATTGGCTTCTGTGGCCTTTCTGCTGAGGCTGGGCTGAGTCAGCCCTGACAGTAGAGGAATTCACCACCCCAAACCTCAGAGTCAGAAGGCTACGGGATGGGCAGGGACTCCATGCAGCTACACCCCTGAAACGATCTTCCAAGACCATCCAAAGGCTGGGGGTCTGTCCACCCATCTCTGCTCTCAGGGTTCCTGAAAGTCCTGCTTGTTAGCTGCCTTCAGCATCTCCAGCTATAGCAGCTGTGGATGCATCTGCAGGGCGGGGTGAGTCTCCCTGGGGGCAGCTTCTGATCTCTGCCCCACAGCTTTGGGATGGGAATTGAGTCCCAGAAAGACACAGTGGTTAGACAGTGGTCCCAAGCGCAGATGTGTGGGAAAGTGAGGAGGGGCCAATGCCCTTAGGGGACCTATCAGGGGGAAAGGAAGCTGTGATGTGGGGAGTCCCCAGTCCCGGGCACCGGGGAAGTTATAAAAACTGGGGGAAAGCCCTCGACCCTCCAGTCTGAGGGACAGGAGAGGGGCCCCTACCCTTTGGCCACCCAGGGGCCTTCCCTGCCCCCTGCCCCTCATCAGACAATGGCACCCGCCGAACCGTCCTGTGCTCTGGGAACCCAACAGCTCCCTCTGTCTGGGGCCTGCCAAACATCACGGTGACACCCCAGGCAAACCTAAACAGCACTTGGGTTTTTTCCATCCTTCACGGGGGCTGGTCATAAATCCCCTGTCGAGGCCGGCCAGGCTTTTATAGGCCCAGGACCTACATCCCTGGGGACCCAGTCTCCCATAGGAGGCGCTGGCTTTGGCTGGATGGGACTGGCGCCTGCATCAAGTCTCTCTTTGCTTGGAAGGTAGGCAGTCCGAGGGTATTTTTGGCTGGTGGAAGGATATAGTACCTTCCAGTTCACCCTGGCCGGAAGAGAGGAGACCCATTGGGTAAAGGAGGCCTGGATCCAACCTAGACTTCAGTCTCATCTGCAGACTGACTCTCCCTTCCTCCTTCTCAGAAGCACACATAGCAGAGAGGTGCAGATGTGGACACGCCAGGAAAAACGGGTCCCCCTTTCCCTAAAATATGCGGCGCCCTCTCCCCACACACCCTCAAGAGCGTGAATCACAAGCTGGATTCAATTTTCCCACACTTTTATCTCAAAAGTTATTGCGTGAGTCCAGTGGCCTCGACGACATCCACTGCGCATGGGCAGCGAGTAGCGGGGCTGCCCAGGTGGGACCAAGAGTGCTGTCGGGGCGCCGTCGGGACTGGGACTGTGGCCTCCGTCTCGTCGGGCTCCGTGAGGTAGGGTCACACGCATGCGCACTCGCGCGCCGACAGCTCGTGCACTGTGTGGTAGCGGCTGCGCTCGTCCAGAAAGGACACCTCGTCCTCGTAGGCCGTCGGGCGGCAGCAGGGCTGCGCGCGCACCCGCTCCCGCCGCAAGCGCCTCCGCTGGCGCAGGCGCAGTAGTCCCAGATCGTAGACGCGCGCGGCTGCCTCACAAGCGCCTGCGCAGTAGCGGAACAGCACGGTCTCGTCGGACGCGTAGCCCAGACCCAGCTCGCTCACGCGTACCTCCAGCTCACGCAGCCCGCATGGTCGCATCCCTGACCGCGCACGCGCGCGCCGCCGCCGGGGCCCCGCCCGACGGCGGGGACCTGCGGGCCGGCCCGCCCAGGGTGTCAGCTCGCGAAGTTCTACTGCGTCCGGGGCGCCCTGCAGCAGTGCACGGTCTACGAGGGGAGGGAGAGAAGCAAGTGGGTGAGAGGCTGTGGAAGTCCCTAACCCTGTCTGTACCCTTGCCAAGAAAGACCCTCGTTGGGACGCCGGGCCGGACAGTTTTTCATCTCACTTCCAGATCTGGGCGGCGTTGGGGCCTCCAGCCTGGCCCCCAGGACTACCCACGCCTCTTGCTGAACCCTGGTGGGCTGCCCAGAACATGTCTCACCCTTTCTGGATGTCCAGGGCCACTTTCCAGCCTGCCCCACTTTGAAATGAGCTTACACGGGTCTCTAACTCACTCCTATTGGGCCCCACTCCCACCCCATTGCTGCCCATTCTTTCTTCCGTCCCAATTCTATCTAGGTCCATACCTGTGCAGGGCTGCTTTGAGGGTGGGGTTGCACTTTTACTGAGCTGTCCCCACCCAGTGCGGAAAAGAAAGGGAGGGGTATACCATAGGGTGGCCGTGACCCATGGGTCTTCTGCTGCCACAGGGCACACTGGTACACCCTTTCTGGGCAGTGTTGGGGGGCTGCTTCCCATCAGTCACCCTTTAGTTAGGTTGTCATTGGTCTCTGACTTTCTCTGGGGTTTGCTGCTGCCACAGGGCACACTGGTACACCCTTTCTGGGCAGTGTTGGGGTGCTCCATGCACCCATCAGTCACCCTTTAGTTAGGTTGTCATTGGTCTCTAACTTTCTCTGGGGCCCCCACCCAAAGCGTCCACATCTTCTCTAAGCCCTTGAGCTGTTCAAATTCTGTAATCCCTGCCACCTCATCTTGCAGTGGGCCTCAGTTTCCCTATCCAAGAGGCCAAATTACAGTGCTTGGGCTTCTCAGAAAGCAGAGGAGCAGAAAGTACTGAGGTCTACTGCATTCAAGGTCTTCATGGGGACCCCACCTACTGTCAGAGCCACCTCCATGTCACAGGTAAGAAAATTCAGCATCCAAGAGGACAGAGACTTGCCCAAGACCCCACCACTAGCAGGAGGCAGAGAAAGAGACACCCCCCTCCCCAAAGGACGTTCTTCCCACTTCTGTCATTCACCCAAGTTTGGCCCATGTCCAGCCCTCTTCTCACACACTCGCCAGGAGGTGCCCCAAGTCACAGATTCCCAGGGCCCTGCAGCCTAAATGTATTATCCAAGGGCCCTGCTGGCCCTGCCCCAGCACTCCATAGCCCCAACATACATGCAGGGGTTGGAATGCCAGTGTTGATGGTGGAACTGATGGCAGGCCAAGGGTCCCAGCCCTAGAGCAGGTGACAGTCACGCTTGTAGTTGGGAGAGGAAATCCCAAGTTTAGTCCCTGCCTCCCCCCAAGGCAGTCACACCTGGCTTATCAGAAGAATGAGCTTTCTCTGCATCCCTAGGAGGACTGCTGCCCTGGAAGATGTCTGTTCCCACAGGAGGTCTTAGAAAACAGACAAGCCTAGGCTCTGCCTGGCTTTGCCTATTTCACCCTGAGCAACCTCTGGCAGACAATGGCCCTGCTCAGTGCCTCAGTTTCCCTGTATAATCTCTGCTTTGGCTAAGGCTGAATGGTGTGAAGTTGGGTGGGGAAGACTGGGTAGCACATTCCATGTTCTTTAGTAATTTCCTGGGCACAACTGGGGTGCATGTCCAGCTCATTTCTGGGTGTGCACCTAACTTCCACCACCTGAAAGGTGGAATTTAGTATTCTAGGTAGTTTTTGTAGGGTTGCCAGATAAAATACAGATACCCAGTTAAATCTGAATTTCAAGTAAACAAGAGACGGTCTTTCAGTATGTCTTTTCCTGCCTACTTGCAACAGGGTCTGAAACATAGAGTCCCAAGCCTGAAAATTTACCAACACAGCATTAGTTTCAGGGCCTACAACATAGGGACGCTGGAGACTCAGTACCTGCGCCCTAACTACAGTACAGATGGGCCCAGGGACAGGATTCAGGACAGGCAGGCACCCGCCCATGGGCTGCAATCCTCCCAGTGCAGAAATTCCTACATTCCTGCTTTGCGGTCTGTCCTATGACAATTGCAGGAGGAAAGCAGCAGCGGAGCTCACGGAGCTCACGGAGCTCTCGTGCTGGAGGCCATTCTTGCCCATTGTGCAGATAAGAATGGAGGATTGTGTACGCTGGCAGTGCAGGCACAGACTCACCAGCAAGCTCCCAGACCACACCCACGCATGTGCACGCGGCCCAGGGGTACTTGAGGGGGCACGTGTGGACGTAGGCACGTGCACATCAGGTCGGGGGCCTAACACTGCCTTCGCCCCACCTGACCTGTAGTGGGGCACGCTGCAGGGGCGGGTGGGGAGTCCGGAAGGGGCCACGCCTTGGGAATAGGCAGCTCATCTTCCGTACCTAAGTGCCTGTGCTGGCATCTGTCGGTCCCCATCCTGGTCTCTCTTCTCTCCATCTCCATCTCTTTGTCTCTGGGTCAACCTTGTTTCTAGATCTTTCTAGGTCTCTCCTCCTGCCCAGGGCTGGTCACTGGGGCCTGTATCCGGCTTTTCTCTCCCTCCACCCCTCACTGTGCTGTGGGGCCACCTAGAATGCCCGGATCTAATCTCCATCCGGCCCCGACCGAAACCTCAGGGGCCAGAGCCTAATTCCTTGTGACAGCTGAGCTGAAGGACCCCAATTCCCGGCCAGGCCTGTGGGGGATCTGCACCGTTCTTCCACCCCATGTAAACAAACACACACACAAACTGTCCAAACCTCAGTGACCCGGGCTTCACTACCTGAAACCCCACCACTATGGCCACCCCTAGGTCCAGGTGCCTGACCTAACCCGGGGAGGCGCTTACACTGGGCCAGACGGGTGATCCGGGTGTCCAGGGTGCGAGGCAGGCGGTGCAGGGGGACTAGTGCGGGTCTGAGACGGTGGCTGAAGAGCAGGCCCTCTCGACACATCCAGATGGACAGCATGGAGCTGCACAGCACTGAGGCCAAGGCTGCCGCCTTCCAGCGCTGCATTCTCAGCCTGGGGACATGGGATGTTCAGCCGCTCGCCCGGTCTGTCCTTCCAGCAACAAATGGGCACAGGGCACTGGGCCAGTCACTGTGGATGAAGTGGGGCCCTTGATTTTGAACAATTCCTGCTTAATGATCAATAATAAGATAGAAATGATTCATCAAGGAGCCATTGAACAAGATTGTGAAAAATTTCCCAAGAGGTTGGGTGTCAGGTTAGAGTTGACCAGGCAGAGAATGGCATCTTGGGCATGGGAAACAGCTAGTGCAAAGGCCCTGAGGCTGGCCTGAACTTGCAGAGAAAGGAAGTGAGGGCATTTGAGGCAGGTGGCACTGTGGAAGAAAGGCTGGGAGGGAAGGTGCTCAGGATAGTCTGGGAGGCAGGAATCTGGGACTGAGACTTTGTTCTCTACATATTGATGGCCTTCAGTGACTCTTTTCCCCCCCTGAGCCTCCATTTCCCCTCCAAGTGGGTAAACTGATGCCCAGAAGTGGGTGGCAATGGACCAAAGCTGCCCCTGACATTTCCTCACCTCTAGGCCTTTGTATAGGTAGGTCCTTCCAGCCAAGGCTCTCCTCTCCCTTCCTCCTCATTCCAGTTCTCCTTTCAGCTTCAGCTTGGATGCTGCCTCCTCCAGGAAGCCTTCCCTGACCACCTCTCCTATCTCTTCTAAACTTCAGGTCCTCAGCTTCCCCCATTAAGTTTACTGTGTTGTGACTGCCTGGTGGTACCATGCTCCCTGCACACAGCAGGTGTTTAGTAACCCACGTGTACTCCCTGCCCCCATGTCAGAGCTGCTCCCTGCCTCCTGGCGGCCCCCAGCCAACATTTACATTCCCCGGTCCTGGCAGCCTGGTGTCCGGCACGTTGAGCCTGGCAGCCAGCCCGGCGTAAACATTTACACGGAGCTCTGGAAGCCAGGTTGGAAGCTAGTCAGCACTGGGGCAGCTCTGAGCCTGAATCTCCCAGCACTGTGGGGAGATTCATTGCGTGCTAATTGCGTTTTATCTCCACTGCTTTGCATGCCAAGTGCAGGGACTCTGAACCTCCCCTTCCCCTCATACCTCACCCCCCCCCCCCGATTCTCAAGCACAGGAGCTACACCTACTAGGCAGTAAAAGGAGACATTAAGTGCCGGCTGTGTACCAGGCTTGTGCTTGAGCCCTTGAGAGAGGCACCAGTATCTCCATTATACAACTGGGATGAAACTAAGGCACAAAATGGGTTGGGCCTTGTCTGAAGGCCCGCATGCAGCTAGAAAAAAATGTGAGATTTGTATCCAGGTTTTTTGACATGGCACACCCCATACAGACTGGGCTATGCTTGGAGGCAAATGCTGTAGAGTCACCCCAAGGACTTGCCATTATCGGTGATATTGATACTGGCCTGTTTGCTACTGTTGGTGGTGTTGGTTGGGAATGAGCTCCCTGACAGAGGGCCATGTAAGCAAATCCTAGACCAGTCTGGGGGCACAGGGTGTGTGTGTGGGTGTGTGTGTGTGTGTTAATGAGAGTCAACCTGCAGGGAAGGTTAACTGTCCTCCAAGGTCAGCCTGACCGGTTCCCCACTGGCACTTCAGTGCTCAACAGACATTTGCTGAATGAATGAATGAATAAACGAACTAATGAATACAAAGAAGCTAGGCTTCAAGTGGCTCAGATTCCAAGTTAAAGGGTCCAGGGTTTCACACTTGTTGTTCTAATGTGGCACCAGCCCCATTTAGGAAACCTACCTTCATTTATTAAGCACTGGCTATATACTAAATCCAGAGATTTCAACTATCATTTCTTTTTCTTCTTTTCCCTTTTTTTTTTTTTTGCAATTTTTGGCTGGAGCCAGGTTTGAACCCGCCATCTCTGGTACATGGGGCTGGTGCCCTACTCCTTTGAGCCACAGGTGCCACCCAACTATCATTTCTTTTTCATCCTCCCAATAAATCCATCCATCCACTCATCCACACATCAAACATTTATTGGGCACCTGTATGATGTGCCAGGCCCTGAGGACACCGTAGGGACCAAGACAGACTGAGTCCATCTGGTGGGGAAGACAGATAACCTCATAAAAAAGATTAAAATGATTTCAGGCAAGTATTATGAGGGATAGTCAAGAGGATTAGATCCATAGGGGTTGGTTAGGGGGCCCTCCCTGAGGAAGTGACACATGCACTTAAGACTCAAGAGTAAGAAGTCAGCTGTTAGGAAAATCTGGGGGCAGATGTCCCAGGCAGCGGCCCAGCCTGTGCAAAGACCCTGGGGCAGGACTATGCCTGGCACGTTGGAGGCATAGTGAGGAGACCTGTGTGGCTACAGCAGAGTGAGGAGGGGGTCAGGGGGAGGAGGGGATGGTGGGAGGGGATGGAGCAGGTTGTAGAAGACCTGGTGGGCCTTGGGGGGAGTATTTCCTTCTCAACAAGGTCCAGCAAGCAGAAGGCAGCTCCAGCAGTTGTCAGGTGCCAAAACCCACCCCTTTTACCTTTAATGAGAACCCACTTTATGCCAAATCTCATTCTATAAACTTAGTATCTATTATGTCATTTCAACCTTCCAAGAATCCTAAAAAGCAGGTAATACCCTTATCCCCATTTTACGAGTGAGAAACGGAGGCCCAGAGGTGTGAAGTGATATGTCCAAGGTCACAGAGCTAGGATTTGAATGACTGTGAGCTCACAACCATGAAAGGGAAGTAGGCAAGGAAACTGCCCCCTGCAACCAAGCGCCCAAGACCACTCTGGACCCACAGCACTCTGCTAGCCCTCACACCAATCTTGGAGTAGCATGCCTCAGTTTCCCTATTGGCCTGGAACAAGCCTTGAGCTGAAAAAAGCTCTAGGCTCTGATCTGTTTCTACCAAGGGCTCAAAAGAGGGCAGTGAATGAGGAGTCAGTCCCAGACTGGCCCGGCCACAGAAGTCTTTGCTGGCCTTGGGACTGCAGACTCCCCACCCAGATCTCTGGTGATCGGCAGGAAGGCAGGGTGCCATCAGTGAACAGGGCCCAGCAGGCACTGCTGATAAAGCAGCTGCTGACAATGGGCCTTTCTGTATGGGGGTCACCTAACTGGTTTGTCCCTGGCACGGACTCGACCAGGAGGGGCTGATGCATGTGTACATGATGTGTGTGCTTGTGTGCCAGAGGCTCCCAGCCCAGGTGGTTCACACACAGCACTCACAAGGCTCACACTTTCCCCCAGCTGTCTTCTGTTCTCACACACACTCAGGTTCTTCCACTCTCATACACACACTCATACCATCCACTCACACATATTACATTCACTGTCACACGCACTGTCAGCATGCTCTCATGCTCAAACATGGTTACACGGGCATCTTTGGGTGTTTTCACACTTAACACACAACTCAACATTTGGACATCTTTGCACACATTGAAACACTGTCACACTCAAACTTCAACAAGATCAGGGTGGTACTTGTAGCTCAGGGTGCTGGCCCCATCTACCTAGGGTGGTGGGTTCAAACCTGGCCAAACTGCAACAAAAAAATAGCCGGGCGTTATGGTGGGCACCTGTAGTCCCAGCTACTTGGGAGGCTGAGGCAAGATAATCGCCTAAGCCCAAGAGCTGGAGGTTGCTGTGAGCTGTGATGCCACAGCACTCTACCTATGAAGGGCAACAAAATGAGACGCTGTCTCTAAAAAAAAAAAAAAAATTGACCATGATCGTACTTGTACACTTAGGTATTTTCTTTTTCTTTCTTTCTTTCTTTCTTTTTTTTTTTTTGAGGCAAAGTCTCATTATGCTGCCCTCGGTAGAGTGCCATACGGTCACAGCTCACAGCCACCTCAAACTCTTGGCCTTAAGCAATTCTCTTGCCTCCGCCTCCTAAATAGCTAGGACTACTGGCACCTGCCACAATGCCTAGCTATTTTTTTGTTGCAATTGTCATTGTTTAGCTGGCCTGGTTGGGTTCAAACTTGCCAGCCTCAGTGTATGTGGCTGATGCCGTAACCACTGTACTACGGGCACTGAGCCCACTTAGGTATTTTCATACTTATGCCCAAAGATGATCACATACACATGCAGACATTTCCATGCTCACATAGTTGAACACAGTCACACTCACACAATCAAATATTATACCTCCACACACTCAAACACTATCACATTCATACACTAGCTTGTTCTCACACTCATGCTTGAATTCTCTCAGACTCACGTGCTGAGGTGTAAACTTTATACACTTGAACATTTTTGCACTCACACAAAACACTACACATTAATTCACTTGCAAATGTAATCACATCCACACACTTTAACACCACCACATTCACACATTAGTATTCACACTCACATACTTGGGTGTTCTCGCACTTGTGCCCAAACATTGTACTCGCACACTGGTATTTTCACACTCACACTCAAACATGATTATGTACACAAATACAGTAGGTTGGTCTTACCTCCCCTCAGGCCTTGTCTTTTTCATGTTGACACAAAGAATGGGCACAACCACACACAGGTGTGGCCGCTGAGCCCTCCTATGAGCACCTGTCCCTCTCTGAGTGCACAGGACACACACCTATAGACGTGGGGCATCCATCATTCTTCCTGCTGCCTGCTTGTCCCTGACATTCTTAAATCCTGGCCACCTGCTTACACATACAGAGATGCACAAGTGATTCCAGGGGGCACAGATGCAGTGGGCCAAGGGCAGCAGAAGTGAGGGCATAGTAGGCAGGGTGACTTAGGAGGGAACTGCCCCACACTGACCATTGTTACCTGGTCTATATTTCAGGTCCAGGAAGAACTGGGAGTGGTCCCCTCCCAGTCTTGGAAGAAATGTCCAGACCGGCTCGGCGCCTGTAGCTCAAGTGGCTAAGGCACCAGCCACATATACCTAAGGTGGTGGGTTCGAATCCTGCCCGGGCCTGCCAAAACAACAATAATGGCTGCAACAACAAAAATAGCCAGGCGTGTGGCAGGTGCCTGTGGTCCCAGCTACTTGGGAGGCTGAGGCAGGAGACTCGCCTGGGCCCAGGAGTTGGAGGTTGCTGTGAGCTGTGATGCCATGGCACTCTACCCAGGGGGATAGCTTGAGGCTCTGTCTCAAAAAAAAAAAAAAGAAAAAGA